GTGTTTTTTTGAATCCAGGGGCCCGCTGGCCTCCAGCTAATCGCAGACGAAATAGAACCGCTTGCCCTGGGTACGTGGCCCAAGCATCTACACATCTTATCCCATGAAGACTGTCCCCATAGACCCCTCATATGCTCCTCAAATCAGACAACCCTATAAACAAGTTGTCACCCGCTGTAGTGGGAACATCTGGGTGGTGCACGGACCAAACCCCTCCACGTGCCGAGGATCCACAGCTGGCAGTCACAGCTTCCAGTGATCATGCTTTGGCGCCGGCCCCGGGAGCTCACCAATTCATTTCTATAAAAGGAGCGAAAACCCATGGACGAAGGTGGTGTTTCACTGAGGATTTTCTTTAATGTGAAAGGCGCCCGGTGCAAGACTTGCGAGAGGGTCCTTCATTCCAGCTTGTTAACTCTAGTATCTTTCCCGGGGCAAGGCCGAAAATTCGGGCCTCGGGCTTTAGGCCCATCAGGGCCATGGAACTCTTAGGAACAATGCTCAACATGCGGGGTATTGTGAGTGAGTTGGTGCATTCAACAATGTAGCTGCAACCGGTGGAACGCAGATTCTCTCATGACAGGCCCAGCTCCAATCATGTTGGCCGTTGGATTGACAAAGATATTGTTTTGCAAAGGAGCCATTCCAACTTCCAACACGCCGCCGCATTCAGGGGAATACTCTTTTGGGGGCACCTCTTTTGCGGGTTTGTGTTCATATACCGGGGGCATATTCCGCGGGTTGTGCAGGTTTTGATCTTCGATATGCGCTGGAAACCATCCATAAAGGATCCTAAATTTCCAGACAGAGCCGTTGAAGCCCAATTACAAGTTCTGCATTAGCGCTTGGATAGGTGGTTTCGTGGCTTGGCCAGCCCACGTGGTGGCATGTTGTCTTCTCTTGGAGGGCCACCAGAACAAGGGGGTGCCCTGCGCGACAGCGAGGCTGGTGCACGGATGGATGGCCGGGCTGCTGGTAAAGCGCTCGTCTGCGCTGGTGAAGAACGTGCCCGGCGCCCCAGCGATGCGATCGGCTGCGGGGTTCCCTCGGTGTGGCTCTGTTTGGTTGAGGGGAAGCCGCTCTTTTTGTGGGGAGGGGGGGATTGTTTACAAGGAACCTGAACAACTTTTGTGCAAGTCCCTATATGGTTTTGTGGTTCTAACCTCAACCTGTTGGTCGCGAGTGGCCAGCTGGAAGTGAGTTGCCTTTTGCTAGGTGATCTTTAGAGGGGAGTAGAGCCTTGTGTGGGAAACTGGCTTTGCAGGGGTTCTGGGTGCTTGCAACCTGCCCAAAACACACGGGACTCAATCCCTTTTAAAGTGAACACGTAGTCCTATTAAATTCCAACTTTGCTGTCACAGGAAGGGGCAAACATGGCCACCATGTCCAGTTCTCGTGTAAAAGAAGACAAAAGCGCATGGATGATTTCCAAAGTCCTCCAACACAACAAGTGTATTGTCCGCAAAAGTCCAAGCAACTCACAGCGGTCAGCGCCAAGCAGCTCGGGTTTGTCGAGGTCTCACATCCTTTCGACGCTGGCCACGCGGGGCCCTCGGGGGCTTTCAGCAGCTACTTTTCAAGTGGCTTTGGATGGCTTTTACCCCCCTTCAATTATGGAAGCTCGGAAGCTCCTATGGCCCCTCAAAACTTGGAACTCTCAATGGCCTTTTGGGAGCTTCCATGTTGGCCTGGAGGGTAAAGCAAGCACAGGAATGGTGTTGGAAAGTGAACATTTAGGAGAGTCCCCCAGCATTCTAGGAGTTGGAGCCGCTTCGAAATAGCGGTTGGGAAAGGGAAAGCCACCCGAAATGCAAATGATGTCCACCAAAAGCCAAGTTGGAAACCGGAAACAGCCTCTGTGAGCGGGGGTGGGCTGCTCCCTTTGTTCCGACCCTCCCACCTGCTGATTTGCCGACCCCAAACAAGCAAGAAAAGCAAAAAACACAAGCACAGAAGCCAACGAAAAACCAAGTCAAGGCAAGCCAAGCCCGAAGAAAGCGCGGCTTTTTGGTTTGGTAGCTTGGCAGTTCCTTTCTGCCGAGGTATTGTTTTCCATTGATCTTCATCCCGGGCACTGAGCACTCGCTGCTGGGGCCTCAACTGGGGAGCTGGAGTAAGTTTGGGACATTTTTTTTTATTTTTTTATAATAATAATAATTATTATTATTATTATTAGTTGTTTTTTTTGGGGGGGGGGAGGGATTGGGGTTTGGGTGAATCTATAGTGTGTGGTTGCCTATAGCCAAAGCAAAGTCTACAGGAAGCTCAGCTTTGCACTGCTTGTGCAGGGGGGTACTTGAGCCATGGTCAAAATACAGTATTGGGTGACTGTAGTGCTTCACAAACCCTCATTCAGGGACCCTGTGAAAACAAGGGTTTCCGAAGGAAGCTCAACCAGATCAGTATTTGGATTCTGTCAGGTTGATGGCAGCCTTGAGTTCGAACCATAACCTCCGTGGTACTTGAGCCATCAAACTGACTGGGGCCTTCAGCAGACTCATTTCAATTTCGCCCCCGTGAGGCCAGTGACTTTGGCAGCTCTGTTGGTGCTTACGGCAGTCTGCGCCTGAGCTTGGCGGAGTCGAGACCGGGCCCAAATTGAAATACGCTCCGTTTTGGGGAGGCTAAACTGGGGGTGTCATGGGGTGTCTTTTTTTTTGGGGGGGGTACCCTTTTGTGGCGGATTCAACGGGAAGACCAAATGAAACTATGCATCTTTTGGGCCTCGTTGTGAGACAAACCCGCTGAACCAAAGATGGGACCGCTACTGAGGGTTCTCTTAGTACAGGCACTGTGGGTTCAGCTTGCTTGAAGAGATCTATCAGGCGATTTGCCCACAGATGGCCATAGCGGAGGATTCCAGCCAAAGCCTTTCAAACACTTTCACTCTGGCGCGAGTGGCTTGGGTGTGTAGTGGTTTCGTTGCTGCAGCTCTAGAGTTCGAAGCTCATGTTTTCAAAAGGGCCCCCTGCCCCCCGATTGTTCGACACAACTTATTAACTCGGGTCCTTGAGAACATGGGTGCGCACTTGAGCACGGTCCCTGGCACGGAATAATTTATCACTGGCCATGGGTAAGTGCCAGTAGCTTCCACTGGCTTCTTGCCATTCTTGCATCGGTTCAGGAACGGATGCTTGTCGGACAGAATCCTTGGTGTTGAAAATGGGTTTGCAAAAGGCGATAGCAGTTGTATATACAAGCACCGTCCCCTGGGTCACCACACCAGCCATTTGTGGGGCGTCGGAAGCTGTCATGGTATATGTGCATACTGACACATATATTCACCCATGTGCTAACAGCACATATCAAGTACGTAAATAGACACATACATTAAAAGAACAACAACATATAGATATGCAACATACACGTGTGTAGACATTTGTACGCACATCATATGCATTTGCTCATTGATTTACTTAGTTGGTCATTTATCATGGGTTAAGTTGCTTCTGCATCAGTCACCTCAAGTGGGAGGCTAAAATCAAACGCTGATGTGGAGCCGCAACAACGGGAGCCGTTGCAGCCCGATGATGACTGCCAATGAATGGCCATTCATGATTCCCATGGCTCTCCTTGCTATGGACCTTGAATGCCATTGCATTGGATCTTTAACCCTTAACTTTTCGGGAAGCTGATTCATGTTGGACCTGCGTGCTTCCTAGTTCAGGATCCTGGACTGCTCTGGGGTCCTCTATTGTAGAAAGTGGCTTTCACCCCCCCCTCTCCCCCCAGGGAGTAGCCACATGGCCTTGGGCCCAAAGCCCGTGGCCCCAGTGAACATCCCAATCCCCACCAAAATAGGTTCGAAAATGGGCGGTGAAGTCACCAATCCCCACCAAAAAGCCAAAATGGGATCCTTCCCAAAACGGTCAAATGACCACGTCGACGTCAGAAGCGGCGCCCGACAGCGGCGAGGTCCTCCTCTTCGCCGCGGCGCCCCCCACGAGCTCCAAGTCCCAGGAGCCCAAGCCGAGCCGCCGCGCCGGCGCGCCTAGAGCGACGACGGGGCAAACCCGCGGCTGCGGCTTCGGTTGGCGCAGATTTTGGTGGGCCGAAAAGGGCGGCCCAGGTTTTGAGGTTTGAACTCAGGGCGTCCCATGTTGGCTTGGATTGAGAGAATTCGAGGGGGGTCTGGATTTAGAGTTGGCTTTGGGTTTTGGGTTTTAGGTTTGGTTGAGGTAGGCGTTTGTCACAAGAGAAGCCCTCAGCTTAAGCAAGAGCGGAACCCGGTGCTTGAAATGAACAAGTACGCAACCTAATAGGGGAGGGATATCCGCGACAAAGGTGCCAAACCTGGGCAGGTGTAAAGGTTTTAGCCGGCCCCTTGTTTTGGCTTGATCCCCCGCAAAAAGAAAGTTTGTTTTCTACAAAGTTGAGGTTGGGCACGGAGTTCGCGAACAGGGTTATGGGAATGAGGGGTTCGCCTTTGCGCCAAGGAACCTCCCTTCCCGTTGGGGACCAGGGTTCTATTTTCGGTTGCCCCAGGTTTTCTGATGCCCCAAAGAAGGCTTTCAAAGAAGAATTCCCCTTTTGGGGGAAGCCAACACTATTTCTGGGTTTAAGCCTGCTTAGGGGTAGTCAACAAATCGCAGGCGTTTGGTTTGTATAGAAGTCACCTGGCCAGTTTCCAGTGCGCCTGCTTTGTCCAGAGCCAGTCATCTGAATCTTTCATGATCCCACGCTTGGCTGCTTTCTGCACACCAGCGGAACTGGCACTATGGCTGCAAGATTCCACGTTGCGCGTTCCGGAGAATTTTGGGCCCGCGAGTCAGGCGCAGGTCCTGAGATGGGGGCCTCCTTTTGGACGGAAGCCACCTGCAGTTCCAAATTTCTGAGACCACACAAGCGAATACAAACTTCCGCCCGGTGAAAGACAACAAAAGCACCATATCACCACGATGTTGGTCTTCCAGGGGGTTTCTTCTTTGGGGCGTGTGTGAAGCCCACTGGGGAGCGGTTCGAATCGCTTGACAGCGGTTTTTGCCGTAAATCCGCAAGCCATGTGGGCGTGCGAGTGCGGTTTCAGCAACCGGGAGTCAAATACCGTGTGCGGAGGCACCGGGCAGTTAGGCTGCAAGGCCCCCCGCCCGACAGCGGCCGCGGCTCGAAACGGCAGCCCGGTGGGAAAATGGGTGTGGCCGGTTTTGGTTGGGGTTGGTTCCTGTTTCCGTGTTGTCTTGAAGGGCAAGCCGCAGGGAAACCACGTGTTTTGAGGGCTTCTATTTAATGACAACCCCCGTGTTCATAGTTTCAAATGAGCCTCCTCTTGGTGGTTAGTGATATGCAACAGGTTGAGGACCCCGGAGCTTGGTATAGCTGGCTGCTTTCCTTTCTCAGGGAGGCCTCAACGTGGGTGCGGATGGATCTTGAGGATTACCCCCCCCCAACAAACCTTACTGAGGCCTTACAGCGGCCTTACTTACTGGGGCCGGGGCCGGCAAAGAAGGGAATCACACAACCAAGAACAAAGCAAAGAAACAACGGACACAAAGAACAACCAAAAGGGAACCCCGCAACAACGGAAAGCCAACATAGCTTCCGAAAAGGGAACCCATCGCAAAGTCCAAGCAGGCTGGAATTTTGAAAAGAAGATGGCCAATAGTCTAAAAACCATGCAGAATTGGAGGACGTCGAATGCAGCAACCACGCGTGAGCACAAACGCAAATGTAAGCCTATTGGTGCTTGTCTCCTGGGATTCCAAGTCCCCGTTCAAAGATTGCCGCAAAGCACGAACAACCTTTTGGGGACAAAACAAATGAGGCGCCCGGTGTTCTCATGAATTGCATTTGGACTACCAAATCACTATCTACAAGTATTATTCTCATGAATTGCATTTCTCATGGATTTAGATGGCACTCATTCCAAATCCAGAAGTGTTCCATCAGCGCCCGGGAATCCGCCGAGGCTACGGCGACAAGGGCTCGGAGTGGCATTGCAGCTGCGGGTTCCGGAATCGAGACTCAGCTGGGCAATCACCCTCGAATTTCCCATGGGAACCCAGACCAAGAAGCAAGCTGACTTCCTGTATGTAGAATGTCCTGTGGCCGGCTCTTTCCCACAGCTGCCAAGTGGAGTCCATAAATGTGTTTTTTTTTTTTTGCATGCTTTTGGGTTAGCCTTGAAAACCAAACAAAAGAACAAGTGCAGTTGTTGGCGTTTTTTCCTTCTGCACAGGGTGAACCCCCATGTAAGCAACTGTCATCTCTTTGCTGTGATCTGGTGCTACCTTTCCTCCCTTTTTGTGTGGATCCCTTGGATCCTTTGGTATCGTTTTGCGGTAGGGGGTCTTACCTTTTCCTTTTGGTGATGGGCTTCTATGGCTGGTCTTCACCAAAAAAAAAAGAAAAAGAAAAAACAGGGTTGCTCATATACAAACCCAACAGTTTCCCAGCACCCGCCAGCGAAGGTGAAGTGCTTGTGATATTTTCCCTGGTTTCAAAGGGAAGTGCTCATCACAGGCCCAAAATCAACACGCATAGTGTGAGCGACACCTCGAGCAACATATTGTTTGTCGTAATGATTTTTGTGTGCTCAGGAGCAAATCGCCAGGCAGAATGCTACAGCCAAAAGCTCCACCGGTGATCAATTCTTGTCCTTTGTGCCTAAGGCCTGTCAGAGTGCGGGACCCGGGCGCTGAACACTGTCCAAAGCGGCGGATCGTTTCAACCGAGGAAGCCACAACACCGTCTGCGGCGGCACCGGGCGCCTTGGCTGCCGCCAGGCTCGGCCGCCGCCGGGGCCGCCGGCTGCGCCGCCGGACGCCCGCGCCGCGTTCGCGACGACGCTCACGCCACCGCCGCCGCCGGGGCTGGAGCCCCCGAGGGAGGAGCGAGAAGGAGCCCGGAGCTGGAATGTCTCTTCACTCCTTAAGTTCCTGGACTTTTGGACTTTTGCCTTGGGGGGCAGGGGGGAATTTTTTCAGTGGCAGGCACGAAGTTCGAAGTTGTTTAAAGCAAATGTTCCAAAAAAGAATCAACCATGTTCAGTTGCATGACCATTCAAGGGTTGTCGCTCAAAGATCAATCATCCCCCTGCTGGGTTGCGAAACGACTTTGGTCCCCGACATAGTGGTTTCCAACAAGAAACAACATGGATACTGGACATGGAGGACCAATCCTTTGTTCAGACTGCCCAAGGAGACGAACTGAGGACGTTTCTTTTTGGCCGGCGTTTTTCAGGAACCTACCTGGCATGGTTTCACGTTGCCGTTTGACGGGGTTGCCCTCTCAAAACGGTCAACTTCCTGGGTGGGAAACCTGATGATCGCATAGCCTGGAAAGACGACGTAAAAGGGGTCAACTGCTCAGGCAGGGAGACGAGAAGTCGCGCGTCCTGTCTGCCGGTACCTCCAGGTATAGATGGCTTGGCAGGATTCCTTTTTTGATTAGTAGCCCAATGGAGAGTTAAACTTGGGAATTGTTGCTTTCCCCAAAAAGAGGAAGCAACTGCAAAATGGGAATAGCAGCGGATTTCCTGTCACTTCGCGCAGGACAGCCTGATGTGTGGTATTGCGGCTGTGGCTTCCGTAACCGGCCCACGACTCTCGGCACCCTTTTGTCCGTGGACCGAATGGAGAAATTCTGACTCACTCTTGGCTGTTCGACGATCTCACCGATGAGAAAGGTCCCTGATTTGGGTATTCTTGACTTCAGGTTTGTAAGTCGCTGAAATCTGCCGATAAGTAAAGGCCAATTGGGGAACACTCTCAGGGCCGTCCTTTTAGCTTTTGCCGTATGCCTGCACCATTCCAAGGGAGCCAGGTTGGTGCTGCAATTGGCGATGTCTAGAACATGCACTGTAAATGAGAAATATGGTTTGCTTACCTCGGTTTTGCCGCGGTAAAGCCAGTTGCCAGTTGCAGTGACCTGGTCTCACCTACCAGACAGTACATGTTTTTCCCGTTTGGGCGTGCATCCCCCGAATCCTTCTCGGAACCGGCCCGTGCACCCCCAGAACCCAAGGCAGTCGAAGACATGTTCAAGCACACATTTGTTGCTGGGTAAGGCTGCCTTGTCCAGTCACCATACCCTGAGATTGGTAAGAAGAGTTGCGGGCCTTGGAAGCCCCAAGCTAAAGCTGCCTGGCCCCAAGGCCAAAGACAGCAAAGAAAAGCAATTTCAAAATCCGCGCCAAACCAAATCCCTCCCCACCTTCCAAACACTTGAAGAAGAGAAGCAACACCACCACCCACGCTCCAAACGGAAGAGAAAAGGAAGCATCCGAGGAACACCCGCTGCGGCGGCAATGGCACCATGGGCTGTGGCCTCGCGCGCCCGGTGGAGACCCCCGAGCCGGCGCTGGCGCCTCCGTTGCCTCCGTTGGCGCCTCCTCCATGGGTACCGGCGGTTTTGGAGCAGGAGGAGAAGGAACAGGGCCGCCAGGCACTGAACTAACATCAGGGCTCCTCATGGCTGAGGACTGGGAGTCCCTCCATTTCCAGTCTTGGACTCCCCCCCCACCCGTAACCGCCAAATCTTCCGCGATTCGTCTCTAAGTTGTTGAGAAGCGTCTCATTCTGTGTTTGAATGATTGGTGGTTACAGTGTGAATAGCTTCTCGCAACTCAACAAGTCCCAATTACCTTCCCAACAAGTGAACGTGACCCAGGGCCATGATTCCACCAGTCTGGGCCTCCCTTCGACCAAGGTGCAATTGATGCACCCCAAGCTGCAATTGATGCGCCCGCGGGCGCTGCTTCCGGCGGAGCCTGGGTTTGCAGCGCCTTGGTCGCCAGCAGTTTTCTCTCGAGCTGCAGGGCGTTGAAATTCACTGTGTCCATTGAAGCTTTTGATAGCGGTTGTAAAACTGCCAAGGGACCAGGGGTTGGTGGGGAGTATTAAGGCCAGCCTGACAGGCACATTCGATGAGCATCGCTGTGTCGCTTTTTCAAGCATCCTGGAGTCATCGGCGCACTACCCAGAAAGTGTCCGCGGCAATGGGGCCGCGGCTGTGCCCCGGTGTCCAAAACACCTGGACGGACGCGACACCACGGAGACCCCACTGCACGAGACACCACTATTATACAGGAAGGAACTGGATGCAAACGAACACATGTTTTTTTTGGGGGGAAACATTTTGCCGATCAAGAACACATGATTTCGATCTCGTCCCTTAGTGCCTTGGTCTTTTGGCTCCCTGTGTGGTCCTGGTCCTTTGGGTCTCATTTGCCGGCGTGCGCTAGTCTGCCTTTGTCCTCAAATTAGTTTATTTGCGATCCGGGTGCGCAACAAATCATGTGTTCCTGAAAGTCGGGTTTTTTGACACGTGGTGCGCAAGAATCGCGTTTTTCCCGTCGGGTCAGTTTGGTCGAACATACGTGACACTGGTTTCAGAAGCCAAGGGGTGCCGCCCAAAGGACGTGCCCACAGAAAACGCGTCTTGAGTTGTACCCTCAACCGCCCAAAGTGGTTGATGGTTACTCACGTAAAACATGCCTTCCAACGGGGACTGTTGGTGGCGCAGGGTGTGACCCAAGAAAAAGCAGACACGTGTGTTGGCAGACTGGTTTCATGTTGCTCCCCGTCTTTGGCTGAGGCTGCGGATGGAGGAATCAGGACCGGGGGGGGGGGGGCACGTAAGGGGAACAAGTCCAACATAGGGTTTGTGCTTCTCCTGAGAAGGTCGAAAAAATGGTTTTCGACGGAACATGTTGGCAAGCCCACTTTGAATTGCGAGTTCACTTGGGCCCTGTTCAGAACCCGTCTGTTGCCCCTTAGAAAAGTGACGCCAATCACCACCCGGTTGGTTGCCCTGTACCGCACCCGCAGGGATGAGTCCGCCACAAAGAACTGCCCATAGGCCAAATCCACCGCCTCTTGGGGAGGAAGTGGAAATCTTCGGGAGCTGCTTTTCCCTTGGCGTCAAAACCAGAAGTACATGGCCCTCAAACGCAAGAAGCAAGCCTCCCCTCCCGTTGTCAACCAAGAGTCTAGATGAGCAAACGGCTGAAATTGAACAACCTATATGGAAGGGTCAAAGATCGATGCGATTGAACGCTGGACTCAGGGTCAAAAAAGGGGCTTCTGCTGGGTCGTTTCCAAAAAATGGAATACCCACAGCTGAACATGGGAAGATTGGCTTTGCGCAAGTGAGTCGCCAGGCGTGCAACGACAAGTGCGGGGGCTTTGGCCCGCTGGGCTGCAAGACGGCCCGGCCGCAGGCGAAAGCCGAAAGCGCTCGTGCTTCCGTCTTCGGCTTTCCGCGCCACCTGGGGTCCCCTGAAATTGGTTTGAGGCCTTCCCTTGTGCAAAAAATGTCCCCGTGGTTGTGGATGCTTGGACAACCCTTCTTGAAACGCACCAAGGGCGCAATCCTTACCCGAAGAGGCCCATGGCTCTTTTCCTTTGAACGCGCGGGTTCCTGGCTCGCCCTCGACTGGCAAGGAGCCAGAGCCCGTCAAGGAACAGGTGAAGTGGTGCCTGGCCGCAAGGGGCACGGTGCACCACACCAAAAGCAGTCGAAGGGAACGTCCAGTACCCAAAGAGACATGGAACAGGTGCCCAGCTGGCCTCACTTTTCCTGCCTTTTTGAGCTCCGGGGGTAGCTGAGTCGGCTCAGCCCAGGCTTTGCAAAGGCTGCGACTCCGAGAACGCGGGCGAAGCTTTGCTGAGCTGCAGCTTCTGCGACACGGCGCGGCGCTTCAAAGGCGTGCTGAAGTCCATAGGCGCGGTTGCGAAGAACAAACACAGGGTGGTCGTAAAGATGACTGGGTTACTATACCTCTTCAGGGGAAACCAGAGTTGAACGTTCAGATTTCCCAAGGATACCGCCCAAGTACTATAAACGGGTAAACGTAAGAACAAAGAGCTTTCAAGAAGCGATTGCATGATCATATGGGTGAAGTCTTGTTTTGGTGCTTGTTTCGGGCCTCTAACGCTGGATGAGCGGCTGGGTTGAAGTTGCACCACAAGAAAACGTTAAGTTTGAAACCCCACAATTCATCCAGGTCGGTTTGGCTCAGGTTTGTACAACAGTTTCGCGGCCGTTTGAAAGGGCTGGGTGCTCAATTGTTAGTTGTTGGCTTGCCCCAAGAGAAACTTTCCAGAACTCATGGTGTCTTTGTACCCTCACTTCCCCGGATTTGCTTGGGGTTTGGGCGAAGTGGCAAGCGAAAGAAGTGTTGGCTTTTTCTGACTCCACTCAGGAAGCAAGCTTACCTGGTGCTGTTTGGGAAATGGTGGCGTGCCACAGCTCGGTGTGACCTGGAATCTTTTGGCCTGAACGCAAGAGTTTCCCCCAAGCATTGACTAGACTCTTGCAGTTCCCGGGCTTCTTTAAGATTCCCTCTAGACCCAGGCGAGAAGCGGGGGCCCACACTGTTGGCTGGGGGGAATGGCCGTTTCCGTGAGAAGAAAAAGCGAGGCGCTGTGACTACTTTTGGCAGTTTTACTCAGTTTCTCAAGGGAGTTTCTTTGGTATCACAGAACATGGCGGTGTGACATGTTGCATGTTTACTCTTCGGGCAAAATTACCATATCCCTTCCAACGATCCAAACACCGCAACGACAGGCTGGTGGACAGCCAATCAAGGCCAGGAAACGGCAATGGGGCATTTCCAAGCAAAGGGGTGTGTGGCCCCCTTTTTCCACAATGCCCAGCAGAACCCCAAAAGGAGTGTTCCATTTGATTTCGCTTTCAAGCCAACCTGAACAGGATACCCTCAAGAAGACAATCCACACCTACAGTGCTATGGTCATTTGAGACCCTTTGCTTGGGGTTAGACGGGTCAGCTCAAAAAAATAAAAGCGTAAGAGAGCAGGTGGGGACTACAGCTTCATCTCCTGCCCAGAAACTGTGGCGGCGTACGGCCGCGATGTGCCGCTTGGCCGCAGGGCGAAGTAAAGGGGCATGGTATGGATGCGGACCCAGTTTGCTGCAGCCCCACCTCCCTATGTTTTGTTTTGTTTGGAGTTGATGTGGTTTGTTGTGAGTGTGTGTGTGTGTGTGTGTTGTCTTGCTTTGACTGACGTTAGTCGTGTTGTCTGGGCTTGTGGTCGGGCGCATGTTTCAAAATGTCCTTTTTGGCCCCCGTTTGTGTTTTGCTTTTCTCCGGGCTGGCTTTTTGGCGTTTGTGTTGCGAGTCTTTGCGACCTTTGGCGGCTTCTTGGTCGCGCAGATGGGCGCCGGTGGGGGGCGGCTCTGCCCACCCCAACTCCCCCCCCCAATTTCTTTGTAGGGCCGTTGTTCAAAAACCCAACCTAAACCCACCTTTCAGCTTGCTGCGGTGTTCGGGACTTCTTGTGGCTTCAACATATTTTAAACCGCCCTAAACCAAGTCTCAACTTAAACTGCAACACCCACCACCCTACACCATCCTTCAAACCAAATCTAAACCCACCCTACACCCACCCTGAAGCCAGCTTAAAGAGGACATTCCAATCCACTCAACCTACCCTAAAGCGCAGCCAAGCCACCCAAGCTGACACCCGCCTACACGATGCGGGCGATGTGAACCAGGGATTTGTTACAGCGCTGGTGCAAAACGAGTGTTTTTTTTGTTAGAATATGTTACTTGATTACCGGACGATAAAGCAAGACAAACTGAAAAACACAAACCCCGAGTTAGCGCTCGACCCGTCGTGTTGTGCTGTGCTTATTTGTTGTGTTTTGTTAACGCTTTGCTTTGTGTTATTTCCTGTGTTTTGTGTTGCTTCGTGTTGTTGCCAGGCTCCCTTGGAGTACAATCATTGTGTGGCTTGATTGCCTTCCCGTCCACGGCAGCACTCTTTAAGCACTGCTGCAAATCCCGGTTGCCGAAGCACGGATTCGTCCAAAACGCACCAGTTCCTGTCTTCGTCATGCTTCTACATCCTTGGGCCTTTTGGAAAATGATGCTTCCCTTATCAACCAGCTACAAAATCATCTTTCACCTCTTGGAAAATACAACTTATCTTACTTACCAGCAGCAAAAATGTCGTTTACCTGATGGAAAATGAAGCTTTCCCTACGAACCAGCAACAAGGCTCCGATTTTGCGGGCCCTCTCCTTGCCCAAACCTCCCACCAGCGATCCGAGGTACGTAAGCAAGGCGGTGCTGGGTTCCGCATTCCGGCGAGGCGGGGCTGGGTCTGGTTTTGCGCAGGGAGGTTCTTTGTACACGGCCTCTTTGCACACAACTGTACAATCTGACTGGGAAAAGTTAACGATTTATTTTGAATGTGCCAATTGATAGCCATTGACATTGTGAAATTATGACCCTGGGACCCTACTGTTCAGCTGTTCTTCCCCATATTTGTGCAGCAAATGGCGTTGAGTGAGCCACTTGGCTCAAGTGGGACTTCATACAAAAGGAGAGACATCTCAGGTTCTGGGCTTTGCCGGGCTTGATTTTTGGTCGTTGGGGAGTTGCGGCTTCTAAACAAACTACGGTCACCGCAGGAAGGCAACTTTTGGTCTTGGCATAGAACAATTCCATCATCCTAGGTTTGGCATTGGGAGAGGCTACAAAGGCTCACCTGCCCAAGGCGGCTCGACTTTCTGTTGTGTGGTTTTGGTTCACTTGTGGCCATCCAAAGGGCTAGCCTTTGATTTCCAGCTCCCGCGAGCAACGACGCAGGGTCGGTCCTTGCCAGGAGGCAGCGCCACTAGCGGCCTTCCGGCGACTCGGCGTCAACCTCGACGCCTGCGTCGTGTTATTTTCTCTCTCGCGCTTCTTTGCTGGTTTGTTGGTGTGTTGGTGTGTTGGTTTGTTGGCTTGTTGGTTTGTTGTTTTGTTGGTTTGCTTACTTGATTGCTTGATTGCTTGATTGCTTGATTGCTTGATTGCTTGATTGCTTGATTGCTTGTTTGTGTTGTGCTTCTTTGTTTGTGTGTCTGTGTTAGGTTGTGTGTTTGTTGTCTTTTTTGTGTTGCTTGTTTCTTTGCTTGTGTTTGTGCTTGTGTCTGTGTTGGTTTGGTTTGTTTGGTGTTTGTTCGGTTGGTTATGTATGTGTATCGCATGATGCTGGTTGTTTTGGTGATAATGTTGCGTCTTTTGTATTTCTTTGTTTGTGTGTGTGTGTGTCTTTGCGTGTTTGCTTGTGCCTTTTTATCGGTGTGCAGGGTCTTGCCTGTTAAGTGAGGTGGCCCCCGTGATGTGCCAAGTGCTTGGAACAGCGTGTTGTGAATACGCCCGCGAAAAGTCGCTTCTATGTCATAAGCTGCATGTGTTCACGTGAATCCCCATGATTTCCAACTGTGAGTTCGGGACAACTTACTGATTCAAGCATGATTCAGGTTGTTGTGTGATTTTTCGCCGCAGATGCTTTGCAGCTTGTTGCCTTGTAACATGCCCTCAATTAACCTGAGTGCAGTGTCTTGGGTGAGCGTCATCGTGCTTCCAAAGCGAGAATCCGAGATGGCTTGAGGCCCCATGAGGTTAACCTCAGTTGGTGGTTTGGGAGGTTCACATCCCTGGTGCTTGTAGGGGACAAATGGGAAACCATCCCCGAACTCAAGACCACAAATCCAAGCCGCCAATTCGGGGTAAGCTGAGTCTTGGTAGTGAGGTAAGCTTCAGCATCTGCCTCAACGACGCCAAGCAGCCCAACGCAAGGCATGTCTACCCGCTGGAGCGAGGCGCTGCCGAGGCGGGATTGCTGTGGATAACAAATTTGTGCGACTCGGTTTTCGGAGGGTACCCTTTCCAGGACCCTATTCTGACACACACACACACATGAACCCCCGTCATTGGCACGGAATCCCACAGTGGTATCACAGATTTAGGGGGGTTCTCGAATGGATGAGACTAAGGGTCAAATCCTGCCAAAGATTCTGGTTTCCGTGGACCAGCTGAACTACTGGTGCGACCCCAAATTTCTGGTGCACCCTGTGTGCCGCCTTTTCTCGTGCGCAACAGCTCTCCCCTTGCCGTCCCTTTGAACAAACCGCGGAGGGCCGCAAAACAAAACAAAAACGCATGGGCAAGACCCCTTAGCCTTGGAAGCTTTCGAAGTGTCACCTACTAACTCCTAAATACCAACGAGTCTCAACGAGTCTTCAAAATTCATTATCAGTTTGTGGCGCGGAAGCCGATGCCAGGATGAGGCCTTCCACGGCACAGTGAAGTACATGTCCGAGGAGAAGGGCTACGGCTTCATCGAGTGCCAGGCCTGGCTCGAATCGAATCGATTCCAACGGCTTCTCCCCCTTCTGAATCGGGGCCTTCTCATATTGGGAGCATCGTAAAATAGGATATGCAACCCTCAACATGGCCAGGGTGTGCTGTTGGTGTCCCTTTTAACCTATCCAAAAATGTCCCCATATTTCAGGTGGGAGGTGCGCAACAAGTTTCGCGCGCTTGGCTTTGATAGCCAACGTGCATGTTGTACAGGGCAAAGCTGACACAGGATCAGAGATCAGAGCTGCCAGCTTACTCAGCCCCATCATTTTTTTTGAGGAACAAGGGGTCTAAATGAAACTGAACATGACCACACTGGTCGATCTTGGTCCCGAAGCACACAATATGGGGGAGAACAGGGGAAAGCACTTGTTGGGTGAAGGAAATATGGGGGGGATATGGGAAAACCACGTCGTGGAATGTATGTATGCATGCACGAGGTAGGGAGGTAGGTTCGGTTCGGTTAAGTTAGATTGGTAGGTAGGTAGGTAGGTAGGTAGGTAGGTAGGTAGGTAGGTAGGTAGGTAGGTAGGTGTGTGGGTGGGTGGGTGGGTGGGTGGGTGGGTGGGTGGGGTGGGTGGGTGGGTGGGTGGGTGGGTGGGTGGGTGGGTGGGTGGGTGGGTGGGTGGGTGGGTGGGTGGGTGGGTGTGGGTGGGTGGGTGTGGTGGGTGGGTGGGTGGGGTGGGTGTGGGGTGGGGTGGGTGGGTGGGTGTGGGTGGGTGTGGGTGGGGGGGTGTGTGGGTGTGTGGGTGTGTGGGTGTGGTGTGGGTGTGGGTGGGGTGGGTGTGGTGTGGGTGGGTGGGTGGGTGTGGTGTGGGTGGGTGTGGGTGTGGGTGTGGGTGTGGGTGTGGGTGTGGGTGTGGGTGTGGGTGTGGGTGTGGGTGTGGGTGTGGGTGTGGGTGTGGGTGTGGGTGTGGGTGTGGGTGTGGGTGTGGGTGTGGGTGTGGGTGTGTGTGTGTGTGTGTGTGTGTGGTGGGTGGGTGGGTGGGTGGGTGGGTGGGTGGGTGGGTGGGTGGGTGGGTGGGTGGGTGGGTGGGTGGGTGGGTGGGTACGTATGCATGCACGCATGTCTGCATGCATTTGTCTACTGTATAGCAAGCTCACCTGGGGCATAACGAGCTCACCATGATAAAGATCCTTTGCCTGGGGATCCCTACTGCAGCTTCTGGAATTGTAGTAGATTTGCAGATGCATGTGTGTGTGTGTATGTGCCTGTATGTATGCGTTTTTGCATGTATGTGTGAAATTATGTATGCGCTGCGTTTTGAGCTTTAGCTTATGTGGCGCAGAACGGGGAGAGGGGGAACTTTGTCACGCGAGCCGTCCCCACTGAAGGCGTGCGCCCATCAGGGTTCGACGCTTCAGCGTGGTCTCATCTCGCCAGAGCTGTTGGAGGAAGGTCCAGCAGACCACCGTCAGCTTCCGTACAACCCATTTGTCAGAGCAAGCGTTCTTGAAAGCTTTCAAAGGACCTTGAGCGTTTGTGTTGGGCGTTCTCAGGGTGCCGCGCGCAACAAGCTTCTTGTCAAGGTTTCGCCGCCTGGTGAGTGTGTGGGAGCAGCTCGACAACCTTTCGCTAGGAGCTTTGGCTTGCTATGACAAGCTCTCACCAAGGCCCACGCCCTTGACCGCCAGGCGGCTGAGCACAGAGCTGGGGTTTCAGGGGGGGGGACGTCTGTGCTAACCAAAAGACGTGGCCTTGATTTGCGAGGCCAGCTTTGTTCGCTTTGACACGGAGCATGGGCACGCGCAGCTTTCCGGAGGTGGCGTGGAGTGGCACAAGACAGTCACCTGGCAGCGACACGCCCCTGGGATCCAAGCCCGCATTTACAAAATCGGCGCCCTCTCCATCGCCACACGCGCATGAAAAGAACACACAGCGCCGCCGCCCAAAGAACTCCCAAACATCGGACACTTGATTGCATATACACAAACTTGACTCTGGCCGCCTGGCCGCAACAAAGCCCGGTCCGTGTCTCTTGCCAATTCAATGGCCTGCCAAGAAAAGATGCTTTGTTGACCTCGGGAGGTCTGTTTGTAAGGCACTTTTCGTGGCCATCAGTGCCGCCCCAAGCAATCGCCCCCGTCAGTGAACAAACAAGCTAGGGAACGCCAATCACGCTGCATTCTTTGAGCCAGCTTCTATGTTTGACTGGAGCAGCTTCATCCCCAAATGGGTTGTTTGCCAAGGAACGTCCACCAGAATGCGATGTCACGCTTGGCGCGTCGCCCTGGGTTGCTCAATGCTGACGGGGGCCTTAAGGCAGGCAGCCGGCGGCGTGACAAGTCCCGACGTTTGCCATGTCATTTGCGAGATGCCAACATGCCTGATGGCCCGGGTTACTCTGGAAGTTCTTGCTGCAAACGCTTGCATAAGCACACGCGGGCGAATCGGAGCAGGGCTGTGCTTGTGCGATTGGTTTGCACGTCTGGTCAATGTGCATTGGCTCTGGAAGCTCACAAAGACCAGGTGATATTTGGGAGGATGGGCAGACGACGGCACGAAGATGACCAGCCGTACAGCATTCAGTATGCCAAAGTTGCTGGCAGCAGCTCGTCTCATCTCGTGCGAAGATGTCGCCGTCAGTCTAGCCAGCCGGTGTTCGTGACAAGTCGACAAAAGCTTAAAATTGCAAGATTTTCGTGCCAAGCCGACAAAAGCTTAAAATTGCAGCAAGATTTTCGTGGTAAGTCAACAAAAACTTTAGAATTGCAGCAAGATTTTCGTGGCGAGTCGACGAAGCTTAGAATCGCAGCAAGATGTTTGTGGCAAGTCGGCTAAAGCATTAAATTGCAGCAAAATGTTCGTGGCAAGGCGGCTGAAAGCTTAAAATTACAGCAAGATGTTCGTGGCAAGTCGGTTAAGATTTAGAATTGCAGCAAGATGTTCGTGGCAAGTCGGCTAAAGCTTAAAGCTCCAGCAACATGTTCGTGGCAAGTCGGCGTATGCACATACATGCACACACACACACGTACTCGTAGACAGACACACATACATAGATACATATGTGTCCACATTGCATTCATGCAGGCATGCATGCATGCATGCATGCATGCATACAACGAAGGAACATTCTTACGCTACATACGCACGTACGTGACGCGCGTATGTGCGTACATACGTACATACATGCGTGCATGTACATACATACGAACGCACGCGGATACGTAAATACACGCAGAAAAGCTCAAATGGTCCGGTACCATGGACATTTCCTTCTAAACGTCCTTTGGCGCTCCAAACCTTCCGGAGCAAGTTAGACAATGGACATGCTGTCAGGTGTAAGTGCCACTCCCTCCCCCAAAAAAAAACTATACAAATAAACAACAAGACAGAAAAAAGGATCGGGGTTGAACTTGGTCCCAACGCCAACCCTGCCTTACAGTTGGTTGAAAGGAGAGTGCGAATTCATTTCCCACATTTTGGTTTAGTCATCCTCTTTGCCCAGATCTGGGACTTGTGCCAGCTACTTTCACTCTGGTGTAAGGCGCGTTTCCTTGGTCAGCGTGGTGTTCTGCGCCCGAACTAGGCCATAATCTAATGTGTCCCAAAATGAAACCAAACGGAACGGGTAGCTTTTCATTTTTCCCAGGCCCCTATTCGAATCCAAGAAATCTTGGAAATCTAGTTGGGACGTTAGGGGACGTGTTGTACCGTGTCAAACTACGAGGATCCCAAAAGACAACGTTTTTCCTCTTGCCACCGCGCCTCAAAAGGGCGCGGCAATCCAGTTAAAAACCAGCTGCAGGAGACCATGGACTGCTTCGGCAGTGATGTGCACGCAGATTTGGAGCACCTGCGCCAGTGCTCCCTGGGCCAGCCCGTGGTCTTCCGGATTAGGCGCCGTGCGGCTGGCTAGGTTTTATTTTGGCTCTGGCCACTTATGGTGAAGAACGGGTTTTGGTTTTGGAGTTGGTTTGGAATGTTAGACGGCCATAAATCTTTGAGAGTTTGGGTGTTGAAAGGCCTTGCGGTTGCTTGTTCCCAGAGGAAGCCTTTTCAAATTCAACTGTACCCACGGAAAGGATGGCCTTTTGCCCCATGGCAAAGGGGGCGGGGATTTTGTTCGGTTCAGGCTGCCATGGTTGCAACCTGAAAGTGATCAACATGGCAGCACATGGAAGAGTGCTTGTGTGTTTTTCTTGAAGGTCCGCCTTGTGGGAGTATTGGTTGTTTTCTTCAGGGTGGAAACACCCAGCCAGCCGTTGTTTGAAGTCCCACTCTTGACCACCGCACAATCCCGAGAACTGCCCATTTCGGGGACCGACATTTTGCCTGCTTCACCCGGAGGGACCTCGTGTGGCGGTGGGATCTTGTTGCTTTCCCCAAAAGCGGGTTACCCATGTCAAGAAGCCCCCACATGTTCTCCACTGACCAAACGTCTTGTCAAGGGGCCATTTGGTTGCTTATCATCGCATTCCCCCACACCGAGACTTTTGAAGTCGAGCAGCATCGAACAAGGGGGATTTCAACCAGGAAGCCACAATACACGGGGACACCATCCCTTCCTTGAAAGGTTGAAGTTGAAGCGTGGGGAACCACTAGATCCGCAGGTCCTAGGGTACTTATTCTCAGAGGGATCTGGTCGTTAATCACCCTAGATTCTGTTGCTCAGGGTTCAGGTCCATTTTTCTCTTTGCTTGAGGAGGCTTCCCTGGATACTGTTTCTGAAGATAGGCATCGGTCACCGCAGCATTGCTGGTGTTCTTTTGATTTCCCTTCAAATACCAACCAAAAGGGTTCCGAATCCCACTTTCAGAAACTCTCAGGAGGAACCTTTAAAATGAGATCCCTCAGATCCATGTCAGGTTCATTTTATTTGTTCAGCTGCTTTCTGGTTCGTTGTGACGGGACGTGCCGCGCGTCGGTTTTTGCGGCTCGCTCGCCAGGCTGGGCGCCATCGGGGGTCGCCCGCAGGTGCGGCAGCTGTCGGTGGCCGGCCCCGCGCCGGAGGCCGGGATTCCATTTGGCCCAATTGAGACCGTGGGGTTCGCGACACCGTCAACAAGGCGCATCCAAAGCAAGGTTGTTGCAACACACCTTGCTCAACCACCAAACTGTTGACCCAAACCTTTGTGCGTTTCCTTTGGGTTTCTGCCGCAAGTATATTGGCTACACAGCCTTTGCGTTGTTCCTTCCAGGCCCCAGGGCCTGGTTTCAACCCCCGCCCCACTGCGCGAGGCCCTGCCGGGGAAGAGTGCCCAGGGCTTCGCGGCGGAGCTCACCGAGCAGCACTGGGCGCAAGCGCTGCTGCTGGGGGAAGGCTGGACATGGGGGTTCGAAACGTCTGTCCGTTTGAAAAACAAAAAGCGTCACCTTTTAGGGGCCCCTTTAAAGTGAGCTGCCTGAAGAGGGTGATGCTTAAAAGGGAAAGATAGGGAGGGTGAAAGTGCTCTGTGGGTGTCGGTGGAGACGTAAACACCTTGTTTGGGTTTGTTGATCAGGGTTGGTTTGTTCTTCCTGGTTTTGAGCTTGTCTTATTGGGTGTGTGGGTGTGTCGGTTTGTCTTTGTTGGTTTGGTTAGTAGTGTGTGGGAGGTGTGTTTAGTCGCACATCTCTTTTTTGATGGGGGGGTTCCATATCTTGACACACAATTCATGGTAAGAAAGGCGTGAAATAACTACCCAGACCCCCAACTGAGAAAAGCGTGGGGCTCGAAGGTGAAACAAATGCACGGCAAGCATCTCTTACTTGGGGAAGGCTTGGGATATGTTGAAAGCTGCGCTGAAAACAAGCAATGCCAACCCAAGAAGCAACAAACCAAGCAACATACCAACCCCCCACCCTCCAAAAGAAAACCGTGTACTCATTTTGCGCGTGGCCGGGGGGTCTAAGGTCCCAATGCCCAACCCGCCAGGCGACTTCTCCTTCGCCGCCGCGGCGGCGGTGCGGCACTCCAATGCCAACCTGGTCGCCACCACAGTGTCACTTGTAACGAGCCCGGGGTCCGGGGGGAACCCATGATGTAGCCCCCGTATTTGGGGATATTTTATTGCAGTGTCGGAGTTACTGCAGAATTTGCAGCGCATGGACATCCAATGGCCCACTTTCTTGTTGACGCTTTGCAGGCACAACGTGCGACAATCCTCACAGGAAGAACGGCTCAATCTTCCTAGAGGAAGACATTCCTTCTAAACTTCCTTGGGCCAAGGAAGGCCCCTGAAGTGACAAAGTCGTTGTGGGGATGGGAATTCTAATTCAGCATTGCAGGAAGGGTTGACGCGCCCTGCAGATTAACGTGGAACTTGAGGGATCATGTTGATTTGCAGGCGGGATATGGCATTGCTGCTTTCCCAATTCCGACCACTGATCAACAACCGCCCCCGCCCCTCCCCCCCCCTGTTTGTAGTTAGGGTGGTCGACAAGAAGGGGGTTCAAGTCAATTTGTTTCGCGGGTCCCAGCCATACCCTTAGACCATCTTAGACTGTTCGACTTTTCGACCTTTAAAGTTCCCCAACTGTTCGCAAGGGACAAACGAATCGCTTGCAGGCGGGCTGTTTCTACAATGCCCAGAATAACCCCCCGCTTGGTCATTTAAATAAGTCAACCAAAAGGAAGCCAACCATAAGGACTGATTCATTTTTTGTTCGAACAACCACACGGGTGTAGATGGCGAGCAACACTTCAGTGCCATCTGAATCCCGGTTCACTAAGCCTACCCACTTTGGTTTGGGCCTATGGCAAGGTGATGGGGGCTCCGTGCGGGTTTTTTCGTTTGCAACCAAGGTAGCGGGGTAGCGGGTACCGAGCCTCAAAAGCAGACCGCCCCAAAGACCGGGGATTCGGTGAGGATGAAGGAAGACATCTGGCGGGAGAGGTTCCCTGAGCACGGCGTGGTGCTGGAAAGCCTGCGCGCATGTGGCCACAGCGTCCGCTTCGAAGTGGATGCGCGCGAGGCCGATTGGGCGGGAGGTCGAAGGGATTTGGAACCAACCACCAAAAACAGGGTGGACGTCCATCCACTGGCGGATTGTGTCACGGCCTTCTTTCGCTCACTTCCTGAGTGCCTGGACTTTGGGAAAGCCGTTTTGGTGGCAAGCAGTACCTCGTGGCCAATCTCCAAAAGGTCAGGAAGTGGAACCCTTCCAGGACTACGGCACGTCAGGCCAGCCCTAGGTGCGGTCTGGAAGAATCAGACAGAGTCTAGGAAGCAACAGCCATGATTTGTTTCACGCCCAGCAACCGGGTGTTGGACTTTCCATGGGTGCGCAGGCCCACTTCCAAAAATGAAAACAGCCTTCTGTGCACCAAGCCATACTTGTTGGTGGAAGCCCCCTCGGGCTCACGTGGAAGTGTCCAAGGCAAGATGAGCTCCCTCAAAGCTTCCGTGTTGGGACTATGTCGCCACAACTATGTCATGTTGTTAGGGTAGGTCTATATGGACCAGAATCACTTGATATTCGTTTTACGTGGCTTCCATGTTGGAAGGGAGGATATGGGATGGCTCCTGAGCCAGGTGGACTGCTCAGGGTACCGCCTGGTGGTCTTCAACTTCCCAGCCGTCTCCGCACAGGACGCCGATGTATCTTGACATCCGCAAAGAAAGGCCCTTTTGGCCGCTTGCTTCGATCTTCCACCTTCAAGCTGTGGGGAAATGTGCGGGGGGACCCCCAAGAAAATATGGCGGTGTTTTCCTTTGGGCTTCCCTTCTAACAGCTCCAAAAGACGGGGGTCACCTGGTACCTCGAAGAACAAGAGCGGCCAAATTTGTTTCGCAGGAGGCGGACGCTGCTTCGGGCGAGAAGGACGAGAGCTCCTCCGGCGCCCTGGCGCGGGCGTTTCTGCGGAACGCGGCGCGCAGCGGGGACGACCACGCGCTGGTGGTGCTGGGCCTCTGGGGCCGCTGCGACGGCAAGGCCCGTGGGGAAGTTTTCGGGGGTTTGGGGGTGGGGGGGGGTTTAATGGGGCGTTTTCCCCTCCATCTTCCGCTTTTCGGAGATGGCGGAGATGGGGGGATGACACTGAAGAAAGAAGACATGTACTGTAGGGGTTTGTTCTGTTTTTTTGGAATGTCAAGATGCCCAAACTCAAAGCGTTCAAAACGGAGCTTGGCGTGGGTTCCAAACCGAGGTTTGGGCAACCCCCTCTGGGTTCAAATGGCTCAAGCCGGGAGTGCGTGTTTTGCTTAAGGGAGTTAAAAGGAGGCCCAAGGGGCAATAGGGCGCAACACTCCTTTTCGAGATTCCTTTGCAGCCCAAAGGAAACAAAGGAGATGACAAGCCAAGGCGAGCTTCGGCGCCGATGCCCCCGCAATTGAGCAGCTCACTTCATGGATCCGACTTTTTGGGCTGGAGTTGGATTTCACCGGCCAGTCAAATGGGTGTTCTCAAAAGCAGGGACCCCTTCAGGTGGGCGGTCCCAGTTGGTTTCGTTGTAAATACAAGCAGAAAAATACAGGGGGTCATCCTTTTGAGGAACTCCCCGCATCAACTGAGCCAACTCAAAAAGCGCCAGGCAGACTCCCGCCTCTACGGACAGGACAGAGGGCCGTCTGGATGCCTCAGCAGTGATTTCACCAACTCAAAGAGTGCATCGAGAAAGAGTACGGCAGTATTCTGGGCGTTGGTTTAGCGAAGTAGCTCCGCTATGCAGTGTTCCCCGGACATGAACATTTCTTTTCGTGATTGTTTTACTTTTTTTTGCTGAGGGGGGGAGGCTGCAAGGGGCGTTTTTTTTGCCAATACACTATAGACGCATACGTAGCGGGACGCCTGGCACAGTGATTATCTTTTTCTGATTCGCATCCCACACTGTTCCCCGGACTTTGGTTTTGAAAATGATTCGCAAGTCAGATTGTGGGGTTTGTTTTGGTTTTCTCGGTTTTGAGAGAGCCCTTTTTGGTTGTTCATCTTTTGTGGTTTCCCTTTAGACCAAAACAAAAGGGTGCCGAGCCTCAAACAACTCAGACCAAATGTTTGCTCGGCAAGCGTGTCGACCACCTTGGCCGCGGTGAAAGGGAAATCTTGCCCAAGGGAAACGAGGGTGCAACGCAACGTCGTGAAAGCTAAGGGCACCCCCTACAAGAGCTAGAAGGGACGAGTGTTGGGTGTGTTTTCCAGATCAAGTGAGCAACCCTTGCTGGGAATTATGTCCAACTATTTTCACGTTTGAAGGTTCGCCAACCATGGGCCAGAATCAAACCATGTTGGACGAAATCAATCCAAGACTCATATCATATGACTCCCTTGAACCATGTGTGTGTGTGTGTGTCTCTTTATGGATGAAGCTTGTATTGTTGTATCTTGATTTGGGGGAAATACCGGGAGGGGGGTGGGGTGGGGGTAAGCCAAGTGGAGGCCATCCTCAGGATGCCCACGAGCTGGTGGCCTCGGCCGTCGCGGAGGAGAAGCGCCTGGAAGATGCCCTGCCAGGACGGGACCCTCCGGGTGAGCCTCGGAGAGCCAAAAAGGTCCCCCGCGCCATGGACCTTTTGCCGTTTCGAATTTTTGTTTGGGGGAGGGGTCTGCTAAAACGGACAAAAGGGCAAAAGGGATTCGAACCTCTCTGGAGGACCTAGTTTACGTCCTTTTTTTGTGAAATGGGTGTTTTTGCAAATCCAAACCTGATGGTGCAAATAAGAGAATGAAAGCGGAGGTTGGAATGGACCCCCAGGTCATTCATAGGGAAGACCCTGTGTTTAGTGGGAATCAATTTATTGATCGGGGGATCCCATTAAGTGAATTGCTGTGAGAGCCTGCAAAATGAGAAAGGGGTGGCCCCATAAATCAGTTGTTGGGAGGCCTTCCAGTGATATCGTAGAAGTTGCAGTTTCCACAACCCATCGTGCCAACTTAAGCAATCTACCCAATTCTCGAGGTTTCACAGAGTTCACGTTGCATCTTCCAATCCTCTAGCCGAGCCATGTGAGGTTGGCTGTGTGTCAAGACCAGTTGGACCCTTCCAGATCGGCTTCCCCCAAAGGGTCGCCAGTTTTGGCGCATCGTCCAAAAAGGCTCTAGGGGCCGTTTCTTTGGTTCGAGAAAGCTGAAACAACGTTGCTTGCTAACTACAAGGGGTTGGCAAGACTACCATGTAAATGCAGATGAATGCAGCATGGGTTTGAGTCGAGGGTGTGCCTCCTTGGATTGAGGCTGCTGCTTTTGGCAGGTAAGCAATCATCCCACCAAAGGCCAACCCCTGTTTGTGGTTTGACAATGTTTGAACCGGCAAAAATTGTTGATCGGCCGTTGCTTTGCAGATGGCTACGTGCGGAGTGGCGTGCATGCGGACTACGGCTTTTACACGCCCTATGCAGAGGATTCGGGGCTGGGTTTTGTTTGCAGCCTTGGGGCCTAGGTAATAGTGGCTGCTCCTTCCCTGGATCCTGCTTGCACGCTGCAAACCTAGGAGCCAACGCCATGTAGGGAAGGTACATCAGATCGGGTCTGATTGATGGCAAGTTTTTACTTTTGCCATTTCGTTTTTAGATGAACATATTTATCACCACAGGTGCGTTGAAGTGGGGACCCCTTTTGGATGGTGACTGCTAGGCAGCATTTTTTCGTGATACCTATCCCTTTGAGGTGCCCTTCTAACATAGCTTGGTGCACGGTCGGCCCCCTTTCCCAGATCATATTATCTCCTCCAAAAGGGGCCGAAAGGGCACTTCCATGTTGGTGCGGTCCCATTGCTGGGTCCCCAAAGGCCAGAAGAGGATGGACATTGCTTCTGTCTGGAGGTAGGACGAGCTCACCAGTTGAGGATCCCTTGTATCTGGCTTTTGAGAGTGTAAACATTTGCCGGTTCGAGGGTGAAACTAGATCAGAAAATTGGTAACATAAAGGGGATAATCCAAATGGGGGAATTGTGCCGTCTACTCTGAACCAAGTGTAGTTGTTTTAAGTTTGGTTGTCAACCCCTAGCGCCTTGACAGGAGGGCTACAACTTCCGCACCAACTGCACTGCCACCTTCGCACCTCGGCCGGGTCCGGTTGTGACATGCTGTGCTGATGTAGGGCCGCTTCACGTGCGTGGCACGGTTGGGACCTTGAACATGCTATTGTTGGAGGCAGAAGGTGAGGCAGCTTTAGCCATCCTTACGGTCATAAATGAGCTGCTCCAGTACGTGCACCCCAACACCCCTTGCCGCCTACAGATACGCAATGCATTCCCAAGGCCAGGGCTGTGGGAGGCAACCCAAAAGCGACCCACTTTGGAAAGCAGCAGATCTGGTATGGCACGTCAAGTTGCAAGTTGTGCTCGGCAAGTTCTAGAAAGCTGTCATCGTGTACCTACATTTCCGCGTGTGATATCCGCTCAGAAAAGTACGATGGCGGGAGGGCACACTATGCCCCAGGTGCATCACTCAAGTGATTCGATAGATCCGCTCGGCTTGCCCTGAGCCTGTAAAGCCAGGCAAGCGAAGCATACCGCTGGGAATGCGCGCCCTTGCTGTGTGTTCTTGCATGCCTCTTTGGCTTCGCAAGGGGTCAAACGGGGTCAAAGGGCGAGCCATACGGAAACCTTCCTCCACCTGGAATGCGACACGGTGCCCTAAAAGGAGATCTCCTTCTGCTGAGTTCGTGCGAGCGTTTCCACAAGCTTCCCTAGTTACCCCGAACGGCTACCTTCAAGAGCGTTCCTTCCTGCGCGGGGTCAACCTTGACAGGGTGGTCCCTCGTGTTGAACTTACAAGTCTATGGAAATGCGTGTTGCCAACGGTGATTCAAGAGAAAAGCATTTGGCCAAAAGACGTTCCTTCGCCGGGGCAGAAGGGGAATATGGATCCTTTTGTGACCAGTCTTCCCGTGGTTGAAAGGCTGGACAAAACGAGCTGCGGGACTAAACCTCCCACCCTCCCCCATTCTGGTAGCATTTTTCTTAGTCGACCGTTTATCCTGCGTTTGGAAGGCTTAGATAGATCTGCAGAACTCTGTCAAAGCAAAGAATCCGTCATTTGAAAGACATACGTACTTTGATATACTTTGGTGATCTTTGGACTCCTGCTCATGGGGCTTTCCTCAGAAGAACTTGATGCTCAGCATTTTGAGTTGGGTTCTCACGAAGCCGGTTCGTTCTTGCTAGGAGAACTCGCACAAGGAGTGGCACCTCCAGGCTTGCTTCGTGCTGAGACTTGCAGCGAAGGAGCCCGGGTAAAAAAAGAAAAAAGCGCTCCGCGTCCGGCCAGCGGATCGACACCAGTGTCAGTTGGGACAAATGAAACGCTGTGAAAACTGGGATAGACCACCTACCAACTGGTGCTGGATTCTGATTTTGTCCATGCACAGTAGGACAGTACCCTCCCTCCAATCATAACATCTGACGCTTGGAGGGTTTTGGAAGACTATTGGTTGCGTCCATGCTTGTTGGGAGGGCAATGCATATCTTGCAAAGCGGACGAATTGGGATCCCATCTTGGATTTGGGTGCATGTGTGGCTCCCCCCTTTCGATGCCCGGCTTCAAAGTTCAACGCCCCATGTGAGGCCAAGATGGTGGACGAGCATCGGCCCATCTTGCGTTCGACATCGGAAAGTGGGCCTGGGGCCCAAGGAGCCTGTCCTTGCCTAAGGGACGAGCTGCAGGGGGGGGGGGGGTAGCACCAGCTAGCACAGATTTGGCTATGCATTTTAATAGGCAACCAGTTCGAAAGTGATTGCTGGACACAAACCCCCACCAAGTTTTGACGTCCACCAAAGGGTCCGGGTCCTTTCCCCAGGCTGAAGGCGAAGAAGAGGCTCGCGGAGAACGCCCGGGCCTTGGAATGGTCATCCCACGCCGGCTGGAATGGAGCTTTGGTCGGTGTTTGAATAGAAATCAAAGGAGAGGGGGAAAGGCCAGGAGCCCCAAATTGGGCTTCGAACCGCTTAAACGATGATCCAAACACCAGGTAGACTGGGCAGGGGCTTCCTTTCGTTTGGCCGAGTTTCTATGGGTCTTGTACGCGATGCCACAGAGCCCAGGGCAAAGCTCATAAAGATCACATTATGAAAACCACATTGGGGAGTTTGCTTGTATTTTGAACACTGAGGAATGCCATAGATAGTGGTTTGACTGGGGCCACCCGAGCTTGAGACCATTGAGACCATGTGGAGTTTCTCGGGACGGCCACGTTAGAACCAGCCCAAGACGCGCACCCGTGTCCATATGTCCATGCGCGCGAGGTCTCAGAATCCAGCTTTGAGCTAGAAGAAGGCGATCGGCAAACCGTGAAACGGCTTTCTCCAAACGCGGAATTTTGGGAACAAACCGGCTCACCCACGATGAAGGGCCTAGCGCCCCAACATGGCTAATGTGCAAGTGAAGGTGGGAGTAGTAAACAGCCCAGAGGATGGCGGCTCTTCAGTGTTTCGTGGAGGCTTTGAAAGCAGCCCCCACAAAACCCAAGCCCCAACAAGGCACTTGGAAAAGGGTGCCTCAAAAAGAGACGCGCCCCAATTGGGGTTTTTGCTCTCGTGGTGCCAGCTTCCACCATTCCAGAATGGTACGCATCACCAAGCGCCGAGCTGAGATGCGACCTGGTTAACTTTGACCCTGATTTGTAAAACTCTCGAACTAATAGGGAGTGTTCCCCGCCAAGGTGAAGAAGCCTTTTAAAAGGGGCCACCTGCCACCTAATTATGATATTTTTGTGGGTGTGATCCATGTCCATGTCCAGTTAACCTTGGGCTTCCGCGCATTTCTGGGTTCTTTTGTGCTGTGCTAGCGAGTTGCGTTTGGGATGCGGGCGGGCAGCGCCGGAGCCGCGTGGCCAGGCGGAAACCCTAAGGACCGGGGGCCAATAAGTCTGCCGGTCGGCGGCTTCAGCGACAGTGCAGCAGTCCAGCGGCTTTTGCCAGCTCACAGCTGTGTTTCCTAGACTTGGGGATTCCCTTTTGGCTGGCGGTTCTATAGAACAGGCGGATTTGGGCACCCCCGTACTTCCTTGCAAAGAAGCGGGCAGTTTTGGATCCCTGGAAGAACAGGCGCACGGATTTCCGGACACGTCCAACAAATCTCAGTGGTTTCCCCATTTTTTCAGGGGATTTCCGGAAGATTGTGAAACGAGGAGAAAGAGAAGCGCCGAGCTCCCAAAGAGCTCATCGTGGCAACCCCTGGCACAATGCCCGGGGCCCCGGGCAAAATTGGTTCAAACAAAGAGCCAATGGTCCCTTCAGGGAAATCAAGAGGAGGTTGCTCGAACAATAGTGGCTTACAGCCAGTTTATACAAGGCTGGCCCACCCTCGTCGCCTGTTGGTCTTGCTGTTTGGTCCCTTCTCAAAACCAAGCCCAAAAAGGGTTCCTTCTACCAGGCAACTGGGGCAGGGCAACTTGTTTGCCTGATTCGTGAGCTCAAGGGGGGTGAAGCATTTTGCGACTTGGGGGTGCTTCTATGGATTGGCCATTGTTTAGCAGCTGCAGATGAACCTAGCAAGATGCAGCTAAACCTGAGTTGCCCCATTTAAGGGTCCGGTAGCGTCCCCAAGTGTGGGGACATTTAAAATTACCGGTTGTTTGTTTCCAGGCATGTTGTTCAAGTGGGCTTCAGGTCCAACCGTGAACCAGACAAGTTGCCAAGTGAGTCACCAAGAAAGTAGCCAAGGAGGCGGTGCTTGCCTCTACGGGCACCATTGGGGTTTGCAGGCATTGCATTTTGTGGCATTGGTAAGCTAATTGCTCGTGCAACTGTGTGCTCTGGCTCAGGGCCCCAGCCGGTGTCCGCTTGCTAGTGACCGCACTTGAAAATATGTCCATGGTTTGCCGCGCCATGCTTTGCCTGCGTGGTGATGGCCATCCACCTTTTTGCATCAGCAGTTGCGGTGGGAGTGGCAGCGCCGGCCAACAGTTCGAAGCCTAGCACCAATCAGCTCACCCAAAATTATTTGTTTTTACAGTCATCCGAGGGCAAGACCCAAACGTTGAGCAAAGCAGAACTTCAGCGCATGTGCGCAGGCCTCGTTCAGCAACAGAAAGAGCAAGATGTAGTGCTGAGCTCGGCGAAGGGAATCGTTGCCTGGGTGGAAGAGCTCATTGAACCATATGTGGCATATGTGTTGGGAGCAGCCCAACCATATGTAGCGTATGCGATGGGAGCAGCCCAAGCGCTCTTTGCTGATGTTATTGACTTCCTGCTAGCATGGTTTGGACTGCGCCAACTGGGGCAACAGCTGGCGAGCTCGCTGTCAGCAGTCGTGCTCGCGGCAGCATACTGGTGTGCTTTTGCCTCTTTCTTGTTTCCGCATGCAATAAGGTTTGTAGTGCTGACTCTTTGCATGAATTGGTTGTCTCCCCCTTTGCTTCACTTTTTTAATTGGGCTAGGCCGTTGCTGCATGCCCAGTGGCAACGCCTCTTGGGCTGGTGGCAAGAGCGTGATCATTTTGAGACCATGCCATAGCTTGAAGATGAATGGAGCTGGCTTGGCTTTTTTTGTTCCCGGCACGTGTCTGGTGACGCACGTGTGGCGGAAAAGGAACTCTGGCGTGGCGCGTGTGGCAGCAGGAAAGTTCAAATGTGTGAATTGGCGGCTAATATCAGGGCCCAAGTAACTATGCATTCCCTTAATGATCATGACCTAAAGCGGTGTTCAAGTAATTACCCCGCAACCTCATTTTTAGTATTTTGCCCCTTGTATCGGCTTCCCCAACTTTGGGCAACTGGGTTTACAGTTCGGGAAAATATATTGTGGTCTGGCTCGTTTTGCGAGAACGGCTGTTGAAGATGCGGCCAGCAATGGGTGAGGCACTTTGTTTCCTTTGCTTCGATGGCCATCGCTGCGACATATGAAAAGGGACATGGAGGCGTTTATTTTGCTGAAAGCTCGAGCTCTTCGTCTGCGCTGTTCATTTGAGTCACGATCAAAACCCGGGTAATTGGAGGGTACGGACAATCCCAGCCACAAAAATGGCGCGGCCGCCTTTTGAACTCTTTCCGCTTTGGGTAGACCATCTCAATATCGGGGTTTGAGTAGGACTCATTCTGTAACTTTCCGATCAGAAGACAAACCGGATGGCGCTCTTTTCCGTGCTACGAGGCTTTCCAGGGTCCTGGGAAAAAAAAGCAATGTAAGGGGCTGGAAAGGAGGAGGCCCGCAGAGAGTTTTCTTGGTTCTAAGAAAGGCGCTGGAATTGATTCGGCATGAGCTGAATGGGAAGGTCGTTGGCAAACTTTTGAGGATGTTCTGCATCGGACGCGGATCAATCAGCCCTTGGCGGATTTAGAGAGGTGTTTGATTTTAGGGCATTCGGGGTTAGCATTAGTTGGTTTCTTCGAGCTGTTCTGGTGGCCAGCGGGATCCTAGGACGCCGGCGGGAGGGCCTTCGCCCAACGGGGCGCGGTCAGGCACACCAGGCGCGCGCAGGGGCCCGGTGGCAACATGTCCAGAAGGATGCAGACCCGCAAAACTGGCTGATGTCCATGAAAGTTCCCTCCAAAATCGCATAAAATCGCAGAATACGGGTACGGGGATCGCGGGAGTCCCTGTGTTTAGTGGACACCGAACCTTCCAGCTAGAACTCAGATTCCCAATGTTTTCACTGAAACAACGCTCAATACGCCAGTCAAGGGAGGACCAAGAGGTCACTCACCAAACGATTTGGTCAGACTCGATCGAAAGGCGCGCCCAGCGGGAGCAGCATTTGGCTAGTGGTGCTGTGCTTCATCATCTTGGACGCCCTGAAGCCCATCCTAGCAACTCGGCCTCGATCCTGCATAAACCCTGGTTCCTTGCGTGTGATCCTTTTGTGGCATCACCTCGTGGCTTTTTTCAGGTTACACACGTGGCGATCAGACAGCCGAAGCAGGACACGTGACACTCCAGCTCACTCATTCACACTATATTCCGTCGAGCGCACTATGCAGTTCAACATGCCACTGGCGGATCCCCGAATTCAGATTGGTGAAATAGAGTGAGTAGTGCTGTAGTGGCTCCTGCCCCACCCAAACTTGGCAGGTCGTTCTACCATCCACCGTGAGACGGTTTTATTTGAGAACTCGACCCAGGTCCAGGCCAAGTATGGCCCAGGCTCGTTCCATATGTGCCTCATATTCATTATGTGCTCCATGTATGATATGTGCCTCATATTCATTATGTGCTCCATGTATGATATGATGCTTTTGGCGACTCCCAGATATTCCGTACAAACTCCTTATATCCTTCCAACGCTTCTTGTGGTTTCCATGAATTCCTTCCAGGTCGCGGCCAGTGTCTTGCATTCACCCAGGTCACCTGGGCCAATGAAGCGCACGCGCGAGACCAAGCTGTTGGGATCGCAGGGTTCCCTATGTTCCTTCATGCGGGAAACATGTCGGTTGAGTGCCAAATAGCGCAATGTTCCGATCATTTTGGCAGAAAAGCGCGGGGAGGGGGGGGATCGATCATTGATTAATTTCTCCAAGCCTTTTACAACCCCATCGTTATTCAACTGGTCCTACTTTGGTTCAAGGTCCGTTTCGATCCCTTCTCACCAAAGAGTTTTGAACTGTACCTTCAAGGCAGCCTGGTCAGTTCGGATTTCTCAACATGGTCCTTTGGGCTGGGTTGCATTGCCTCTCGGACCTTTTGGATCCAACGGAGGGAAGGAGACCAGTACTGAACTGGAAGCAGACGCCGAGTTCCATCTCAATTTGGCTTCGCTTTGCCATTCCAAACACGTCTTCCGGGCATTGTGCCCCATGGGCTCACTTCCTGAGTTCATGAACTTTAAACTTTTTGGGCAGACCATAAAGTTTGGACTTTTTTTGGGCCATCCACTCAGCCAGCGAGTGGGCCATCCCTCAGCGGCTGAAGTTTCGCAGGGCGAGCCCGGCGAGCCGCGCTTCATCCAGGGCACCTTCGTGTTGGCCGGGGCCCAAAAGGGGAGCGTTTTGGCGTGGACATGTCTCCTTCAACCTGACGTGTTGGGGTGGGAGCAAGAAGGGATATGTATATATATATATATGTGTATATTTTTATTTTTATTTTTTTCGGAGGGGTATTTTTTTAAAGGTTGTTTGTTCTTCGTTGTTTTTTGGATGTTTTTGTTCACTTTTGGCTTCTTGGCTTCTTGGCTTCTTGGCTTCTTGGCTTCTTGGTTTCTTGGCTTTGGCGTTTCGCATCCTATGCATTCCCAGTTCCTCTCTGGCAGGTGGCGTGTTGGTTTTTGCGGCTTTTCGCTGGTTTGTGCGGCTTTTGGTGGCTTTGACTTTTCGCATCACCCCCGCTACTTTTTAGATTTTTGGCAGAGATTTAATTGCACCCCTATTTGAATCATCACTTCTTCGAACACCCAATTTCGCGAGAAAATGCTGTAAAATACGACAGTTTATGTATTGTATGCATGTATGTCTGTATGTATGCGCTTCTTCGAACATCATAGGGGGAGTCACCCCCGCCACACCCCCCCCCCCCCGTTCTTTCTATATTCTATCGCACCCTTTCTTGAATCATTGCACCCCTGATTGAATCATCACTTTTTCGAACATCATGGGGGTGCCGCCCCCACCCAACCCCGGCTGCCTTTAAGATTTTTAACCCTGTTTGGATCATCACTTCTGCAAAAGTCATGGGGGGCTGCCACTCCCCCAACCCCCCACTTGCACCTCTATTCGAATCATCACTTTTTCGAACATCCAATTGTGCGAGAAAATGATGTAAAATACGGCATTTTCTGTCATCTATGTAATCTATGTATGTATGTATGTATGTATGTCTGTATGTATGCACTTCTTCGAACATAGTAGGGGAAGTCACCCCCGCCAACCCCCCCCCCCCGCCTGTTTTCTTATATTCTGATTAACTCCTTGCACCCTTAATTGAATCATCACTGTTTCGAACCCGGTTACTTTTTAGAGGCTACTTTTTATTTTTTTTACACTATTTGAATCATCACTTCTTCGAACATCATTGGGGGGGGTGCCCCCCCCCCCCCCAACCCCCCAGCTACTTTTTGATGTTTGTTACCGGAATTGAATTGCACCCCTATTTGAATCATCATTTTTTCGACCCGGGATGTTGGTAGGACATGCGGGGGATGTTGAGAACAATGCTGGGGATGTTGATGGTCTACTGGAATATACGTCAATTTTGCGAGACAATGCTGTAAAATACGACATTTCACTGGCCAAGACGAAAAACGGAAAGGAAAAAAAAACACGGGGGAAAAAAAGGAGCCAATTTATTTCAGGGCCGGATTGTTTACTGAATATTCCCTTTGCACTGAGATAGTGATTTAGTTGCCCTTACACCCACGTAGCCATAGCAAGCACCAAAGGGTCCTTCCAAGAGGAAGCTGTTGTTCCACGGGACGCCAGCAAGGATTAATTTCCATTTATAGGCATATGCAACTTGTTAGTATTCCCAACCTGCGCAGGGCAAACTGTGTGCGTTCAAGGATGCAACTTTGGTCAAACACATGTCTTGTGCACGAATTGGATGCGCCTTTTGTGAACCCACCCTAAAAAGGTATTAGAAGAGTAACAACGCGAATACCAAGCAGAGAGGGAATAGCATGTTGGACCCACAAAAATCTGGATGCCCTGGAAGTCCCGCCTAGTATGCAAAGTCTTGTCGGCGGTTGTGCACAACGAGACCCTTTGCCGGGGATCATGGGCGAAACCGCACTGTCACCACGACTTTGCCGCAGTTCACCGCCTGCAGCGGCCAGGGTTTCCCACAAGCCCCTTTTTTCCCTGTAGATGGGGTGGTTTGTGTAGATTGGAACCATGGGGAACCCTGAGCACTTCAACTCCAGTGCTGTCGGCTCGTTATCCAATCAGTGGCTGCTAAGCATGTTTCTCATTGTCAAGTGGCATTTAACGCACGATTTTATTCAGGGAGCCCACTAGGAACTTCTTGAAACAGTAGTTCATGAGAACCAGCTATCGGAGCTTCTACAAGACGTTGGACAAATACCCACCAAAACGTTCTTGCAATTTGTCCTGTAGAATTGTCCTGTGGCGGAACGCTGCTGTTTCAACGAGGGGACAACGGCCCCGCGCACTGGCCGCCAGGTCCAGACGGCGCTCTCGCTGCTGGTGGGTCTGGGCATCGCCCTGTGCCCAAGCGTGTCCCCGCAGGGCCTAAGGCGCGTCGTTTTGTTTGGTGATCCTCATTGGTGGGCATATGAGGAAGTGGGGAGCTGGTGAGGCTTGCAATTTGACCCTGCAGTCACTTAATCACTTATCCCCTGGGGTCTGGATATTATGCGCATGCATCTCTAAAGCTGTATGGACACGAGACACATTGGTAAGTTTACATGTCTTGGTTGGGAATGAGTGTCCAACCATTTGAAACGAAACTACCAAGGTGAGCCCTCAAGCTTGATGAACCCACACCTCCCATCCTCTAGCGACGTGGTGCGGTTTATAAGCGCAGGTTTTCAACATGGGAAAAGACCCTGTGGCCACCTCCAGCCAGGCATCATTCAACACGGAGAAACCGAAACCAATGAGCAGCCCAGTGTCCAAACAGCCAGGCTCCACGAGGACTGGCGCGCCCGCGTGCGGCGCTGTGTGGATCCTAAGGCGCGCATCGCGGATCTCATTGGGTTTGCTTGATTTTTGTTTTATCAAAACAAGCAAATCCTTATTTCTGCAAGCCCATATCTCTGGGGGTTGTACCTCAGAACAACTCCCAAAGGTCGAAGAAAATGTACTTCCCAAACCAAACTCCAACCAACCAAACCATAGGGCTGCTTCCGGTTGCCTGTCTGATTGGACTGTTCAAAAACCCTGCGCCATTTCGAAGAGCCGTATGTAACGGTTTCCCGAGCGAACTTCGCCGAAATGGAAGGGGTCAAGTGGTTTTTTAGCCAGGACGAATTAAGTGAAGGAGGCTGTGAGGATACTGCGATGAATTTTCGTGTTTCTCCTACAAAAAAGCGGGGGCTCCCATTAAATCCTGACGAGGCCTGGATTGCCACGACGCTGCTTCAACTCGCTTACATATTCTGCACCTTTTTGGCCGCGGTTTCCTGCGGAATCAACCAGCAAAACAGACCTCGCTTTCCTGCTTTTCCAGTCATTGCAGGCTGTCACCACTTTATTCGCTCACACTGGAGAATGTCACTTGCAGTTGCCAACCACTGACATGACAGCCCAAGCACCACCTTTGAACCACAAGTAAAACCTTGGTGGATGGGTTTTTTCATGCCTGGGGAGAGGGCCGATGCAGCCAAGCGTGAGAGGATTGTCACTTACACCCCCTTCTCATGGATGTTTGGGCTCGCCCTCTGTTGAAGGTGGCATTTCTGCCTGCCCTTCGCGGTTCCGTGCTAGGCCACGTTTTACCAGCTGCCCGCCCGGGGCTTGGACGATGGCTTTGCCTCGGATTTGCGTGTGAGTGGCGCATGATGTTTGATGTTTCTGAAGGAAGCGGAGAGTGGATGTTGATTTCTTTTCAGACCCCCGATTTGGCCTGTGTTGAGACAAGCTTTCAACTGTTTGCTGGCCAGTTTAAGGCCCCATCAACCAAAAAAAAGAAGCAGCAGGCCAGTTGTGTTTCGCTGAAGCAATGCTCAGTAAGCCTGAAGGGTGCTTCGACTAGAAGTGCGTGACTTCAACTCTTGGCCCACGTGCTATGGCACCCCATCCCGTGCCAGTTTGGCGTCGCATGTGTCGAAGGCTGGGCTCCTTTGTGCGCTCGTGCTTTGTTTCGATGTTTCATTGGGTAATATTGGGTGTGTACCGAGTGGCCGGACGAGCTCGGGATCGCCCCAAATCCTTTGGCTTCACGTTGCCCAACCGCCCGCTCGTTTCAGACGAGCTCCTCTCCACAAGAAGAATGAAGGACGTGCAAGAGCGGCTCCGATTGTAAGGAGGTACGGGGTACCTGCTTGGGAGGCAACTGCCACTGCCCAGGCAGCAGCTGAAAACTCCAATCCGCCCCTTGCGGGTCTTTAGGGCGGAGTTGGAAAAAAGGGAACCGGATGTGTGTGTGTGTGTGTGTGTGTGTGTGTGTGTGTGTGTGTGTGTGTGTGTGTGTGTGTGTGTGTGTGTGTGTGTGTGTGTGTGTGTGTGTGTGCGGAGTGACAGAATGCCCTGTCACCACCATTTCGGTTTATCAGCAGGGGGACCAGGCGTCTTGCTGCTGACCTGGTCTAACAAAGCTAGGCAGCAAGACGGGATACCGGAGTTGGCCACTCCGGCGTACCTGCGACAGTTCCCACACCTGTTGTGCAATGTCCTTTTGGCCCGTTGTTTTCTCGCTGTGTGTGCTTCATGTTGAATCTCGTAACGGTTTCGACACTAAAGGGAAACCGAGTGCATTGCGAGCAGAGCCCACACCTACTCGAGACTCACCAGTTGTACTCGAGACTCATCAGTTGTACTCGAAAGATTAGCACTCTCCATTTGGAGTTCAAGTGTGTACACCCCATTCGTGGGGAATCCTCGGGTGTACCCATTGTGTGACCCCGGGCCGGCTCTGTCGGAAAATTTGACCTCAACCTGCTTATCATAGAACAGCGGAATTTCACATTTAACCAGGAACGAGGTCTCACTAAAGGGAAGACAGCGGTCAGATCATAGTGACGTCTCACCTGTGCTTATTGCTTTATATTGGTTGAAGTGGTTGATATCTTGCCGTTGATTCCTTGCCGTTTCATGAATTTGCTTGTTGACTGATGCGTGTTTCTCAAGATGAAAGCGTGACGATTGAGGGTCGATTTTGTGACCATGTCTCGACGTGATGATCGTGATAGATCCAGACTCGGCGCAGACGTGATCGGAGTACTTCTCCTCAAGCTCGGAAAGCACACCGACGTGAACACAATGAACACCACGTCCCGGATGGCATGGATTGGAACAATCTGGTATCTTGGCAACACAATTCCGGCTACAATTCTGCCAACAACTTCCCGATGATGCCCACCAATTTTCAATCGACTCACAGTCCCACACAGCAATTTCAACATCCATCGATCAACTACATGATGCCGATTCCTCCGGACCCCACGCCAACGAAGTTCATGCCGCCCGTGATGCCTCCACCGGTCACTACTCAGCAACCTACAGCGCCACCTGGACCTCCTGCGGCTCTACCGGTTCGCCCTCAGAAAGCCTGGCTTACACCATCGCCTGACTGGACACCCGGAGATGGCATGTTTGATGTCAATCAGCTCTACAACTTTAGCTTGCCCATGACCGTTGCCAACACTCCGCATGGCAACCTGCGCGACATGTCAGGCATGGATATTCGTGACGTTCGCCTGGTTCAGGTCATTCATGGGGGCCTCACCAACTGGCTCCTCCGACCGTTCGCTCACGGCAGATTCGTGACGTGGGAAGGCTTTCGCACACGCACCGAGGCCTTACTTTGGAGTACTGTTCCAAACTACTACGACGATCACAGTCGATCAACCTGCTCACCCTGGAAAAGGACCTTGCCAACTCGCTGGGTCTCAACATCGATGACTTCAATCAGCGGATCAAGGTCCATGAGCATTTGGCCAACTCGGTACTTCAATTTCTTCAGCAACACCATGCTTCTCTCACGCCTTCTACACAGACAGATGACATGGTCAAGAAGTACAATGATCTCAACCGTGCACATGAACTGCTCCAGGCTCAGTATTCAGCATCACTGCGCGCTTCGACCTCTCCCACGATGGCAAGCCAGAAAGATGATGCAGAGTTGGTTACACCTCCACCGGTCAACCACACGCAATCCTCTTCACCTGCCAGCTCCCTTCCTACCGCCAGTGCAGCGGCCCTTGATGGCAAGTCGTTTGATGGCGCGGTGCAACCCCGGATCATTCAGTCTCTTCACGGAGTGTCTTCACCGCCGTCCAAGCCGGCGGCGTCACAATTGCTCACCATGCACAGCACGCCGGAAGAAGTTGTCAAGTACTACACATGGACCAGTGACCAGCCACGCCTTTATCTCAAGCAATCGCCCACAACCACGACTTTGACGTCACTAGTCAAATGGGCTAATCACCCGTCCCGACTCAACGGCAACAAGTCATTGGATTCCATGGCGACGCAGCTCCTTCAGGCGCGTCAACGCATGCCGAAAGGTGACGCACCCACTCTCGGGGCGATGGCGGCTTCGTGGGGACTGGAGCCGGGCTATCTCACCAAGCTCACTGAGAAGGCATTGAGTCACCTCATCGTGACCGCTCGACTACTCAGCTGATGAGCAGACATTTTGACGATCTTCGTTATCTTATGAGCCCGGAGCGGCACCCGTGTCACGGATGAGTCAAGGTTAAAACTTGTCCGTCATCTTTTTGCGTGACATCAGTTTGATCTTGTGCTTGGTTGTGCTTGCATTGCCTTGTACGTGATTTTCTGAGCAGCTTGTAACCATGTCGCCGCCTCATAGTCGATTTCATTGGTTGCAATTGCACCATGTTGGATGAGCTTCGCCGCTGTGGAATCTATGATGATGTTGCACAATGGCAGTCTCTCGACAATTTTCTACACTCGTTGACCATGTTCTCTACGTGCTGGCAATACTGCTTCCCTGGATTACCACCACCGTCGATACCAGCTGAGGAGTACGAATCAATCACACAGCTACCGTGGTTGGGCCTCATTCTGGAAGTATTAGTCGTGGTCCGGATTGCCCTTCAAATTCCGCATCACGCTATGTCACAATCTCAACACACTGTGGCCAACAGGTATGAGCTTCATCGATGCCGGTGCACTGCCTATTTATTGATCAGTTTCCTACAACGTCTCATTTCCCAAGATCATGGCTACTTTCCGCCATTCTTTGAAGTCCTTCACTTCTACAAGGCATCTCTCTTGTGTGAAATCATGCACTCCACCTTTGCCGATACGCGGCATCTTCGCTCATTGCGGGCGCGATTTCCGGACCTCTATGACTTCATCCACGATCCAGGTCATCATCAACAACCGTGCGTTTACATCCGACTTTCCCCATGGCACACACCTTACTACGTTGGTGCGACTGATCAGGATGTTCTACGACGTGAACACTCACGCAGTCGCAAATTTCTACAACTACTTCGGGGACGTCATGCATTCTTTGAACCCGCGCTGCACTACTGGAAGCGATCCAACACTTACTGGCTCTTTTGTGCTGTTCCAGTTGAGATCAAACTTCCCGTTTCCTCGGTTTGGGTTCAGGAAAGCAAATGGCAATACCTGCTACGCCCGCATTTGAATGCACCCTGGGTACACAGGCTTTTGCGAAAGGTGGGCTTCCGGGAACACCTCGTTGATTTTCGACGTCATTCGTTGTCGTCTCCCACTTCCCTCGGCTTGCACAAGCGGTTTCGACGACGACTACATCCGGATCTTCAACGGCAACTACGCCCCGACATGCTGGATGACATTCAGGCCCATTATTCCATTCTCTATCAACTGGGATCCAATACAGGTGCATCGTTCCAAGTCATGCGTGACCTTCTATCGGCGGCTTTCCCTCCTACTCAGCTTTACTACTTTTTGCGACTCTCCGTCTTTGTCAACGAGCCCTTCCGATCCAAGGCGCAGAAGCTTCTCGCCCAGGTGTTACGCAAACGACAGCTACAATCACCCACCACTTTGACACAACTACTCCTACCACCTCTACATGTCCGGAATTGGAAAGCTCTACTTGGCACATGGTTACAAAGCTGGATTGCTTCTCATCGTGATTTGTTTCCTTCCCTTTTCCTCCCAAAGATCCGCTTTGGTGAGTTCAAATATGAGGACGCCGAAGACCGTGAGGAAGGGAGCTGCCCACGTGCGAAAGAACGAGATGATGGGTCGTGCTTTCTGCCAGTCCTTGGTCGGCTTTGGAAGGATGCGAGCTGTGGGCAACGGTGCTTGAAGTCGAAGTCCCCATGTATATCGCTGACGTAGAAGGGAAGGTACCGTAGTTACCACTTCAGAGCGAAACGATGCTGCGGATTCACGGCAAAGTGAAAAGACATCTCCCGAGCAAAAAGTCTTCCGCATCAGTATAGCAAACAGAGACGGACAAATCACATGTGCACGTGAGGGAAAATGATCCGCGGGAATTACCACCCATGATGACTTTTCCTGACATTGCAGGTCAACTTTCAGTACAAGAACTTGTCCAGCAGCTGTGGGAGTCGCTGTCACAGGCAGATCCCGATGAGTACATCCACCTGGTGTCACAAGACCTGTCAGGCTTCTTCACGTCCATTCCTACGGAACGATTCCACCAGGCACTACAAGTGCTTCTTCATCGGTACGATCAAGTTGTTGGCCTTCGTAGATCCTCTCAATGGTCAGTGTTCGAAGTAAAGTCTGACCATAGACGCCGCATGTTCAAAGGAAAATGGCGCCGTCAGACCAAGATCCCTAGAACTTTTCATGAACAAGATCTCCGACACCTTCTGGACTTTGTCATTGACAACAGTCACTTCGAGATC